AATGAGGAGGAACAAATTCTCTCTAGAGCATTCCAAAAGGCTCTATGAATGCCAGGATTTTAGTCACTAAACCCGTTTTCTTTCTGCTGACCTCTAGAACTATACAAAGGAAAATGGTGTCATTATCATAAATCTGTGGTGATTTTTTTTTAAATAGCAGTAATGGGAAAAGAAAACCAGACAATGACAATTAATATTTGGTGACCTCTAAACACCTCCTTGCACTTTTTTCCCCTTCAGATCCTTGTATTTCTTTCTGCCTTTCTCTTTTCTTCTCTTTCTCTCTTTTGTTCTATGCTTCATTATTCACTTGACAAATATGGGTGTGTATGTGCCTCTTGAAGGGATCTTTCACTAACATAGGAGTTTCATGCCAGTGTCTTTGTTTCTCCAAAATGTCTGTTACTATCTAGTCCCAAAACACGTACTATACTCTCTTTAAAAAAACAAACAAACTGGTGCCAGTCTTAGCCTGGCTTCTGTTCTAGAGCTTTTATGCCCAAGGCTAGTGCTTTACCACTTGAGTCACAGCTCCACTTCTGTTTTTTTTTGGTGGTTAACTGAAGATAAAATTTTCAGGGAATTTGCTGTCCAGGCTAGCTTCAAATTATAATCCTCAGATCTCAACTGCCTGAGCAGATAGGATTATAAGCATGAGCCACTGTGTCTAGCTCATACTGTATTCTTAAGAAGTAAAAGTGTGGTAGTATACTTTTGTAATCCCAGCTATGTGGGGGGCAGAGATCAGGAGAACTGAGGGTCAATGACAGCCTAGGCAAAAGCTAGCAAGACCTTATCTCAAGCAACAAGCTCAGTGAACCTGAGGATTCACTTTGTAATCCCTAATCCCAGCTACTTAGGAGGAATAAGTAAGAGGATCAAGGCCAACCCCTTGCAAAAAAAGGAAGAAAGGAAGGAAGGAAGGAAAGAAGGAAAGTAAGAAAGAGAGAGAGAGAAGGAAGGAAGGAAAGAAAAAAAGAAAGAAAGAAAGAAAGAAAGAAAGAAAGAAAGAAAGAAGGAAAGAAGGAAAGAAAGAAAGAGTCGGGCCCCAGTGGATCACACCTGTAATCCTAGCTACTCAGGTGGCTGAGATCTGAGGCTCGTGGTTCAAAGCAATCCTGTGCAGGAAAGTCCAGGAGACTCTTATCTGAGTCTGAGAACTGGTAGTGGCACTGTGGCTCGAGAGGCAGAGCACTTGCCTTGAGCTGAAGAGCTGAGGGACAGCACCCAGGCCCAGAGTTCAAGCCCCAAGACTGACCAAAAAAAAAAAAAGAAGAAAGAGAAGAAAGGAAGGAAGGAAGAAAGAAAGAAAGAGGGAAGGAAGAAAGAAAAAAGATCCTATTAAAAAAATCAAGGGGACAACAAAGGTTAAGTTATGGTTCAAGCCATAAAGTACCTGCTTAGTGAGTTCAAGGCCCTAAATTCAAACCCATTACTGCCCTCCCCACCCAAAAGTAGGTATGGTGTTCATTTTTAAGTTATCTCATTTTAATTGCAAATTAATATATTCAGTCCAGAACAGTTGGAAAACATACCAAAAAATAAAACGACAGAGAGTAAGACTCATTCACCAGAGAAAATCATCACTGGTATGTCTTAGCACATGTCCTCTCAGAGCTTTTACTGTGAATATTCACACCTTTTGTGCACCCAAGATTTCATATCCTCATCTGCTCATTGATTTTACAAATTATTTTCAAACTGCTTTTTCCACCATCAGGTGGCTTAATCCTTTCTGATCTCCAGTCTCCTTGGCTGGGTGGACTGGCCACATGTGGCTATCTCCTTATTTCTGGACAAGGTGCTGTGCAGGACCCAATCAGCTCTTTCCATTGCTTACTCGCTTAACCTTGGGGGGTCACCCAGGGATCGGAGGTTCTCCTGAATGCCCCTTGGAAGCTTGAGGTAGAATAAAGGCTTGTTGTGATAGCCTCCTTTGTCAGTGGGAGCAGAATTTTAGGGACAAAGTTCAATAAATCCAGACAAATGCATACACCCCTGTAACCCATACCCTGGTAAGATTGTGTATGTCTATCTTCCCAGGAAGTTTGCCTTCCCAGTAACACTCTCCACCCTGAGGCAGCTACTCTGGTGATTTTCTTTTTCTGACTTGATAGAAATTTTAATTCTTTCTAGGGGGTTGCAGATAGGGAAGGAAATAAAGGAGGAGAAGACTGTTTGCAGTTATCTTTCCTAAGCTATTGCTCACCTCTCTGGACCTGAGAAGCAAGAAATTCAGAATATAAAGGAGTAGCTTCTTTTGCCTCTCCTGGGTTAGCAAATGCTTCCCTTTCTGGAGTAGCAGAGACCAAGGGTTAGTCTGATGGGAAGAGAGGGGGGAGCATTGTAAGGTAGCCAAATGGATTTTTTTTTTTTTTTTGCCAGTCCTGAGGCTTTAACTTAGGGCTTGGGTGCTATCCCTGAGATTCTTTTTCTTAAGGCTAGCAGTCTACCAAATGAGCCACAGCACCACTTTCAGCTTTTTCTGGTTATGTGGTACTGAGGAATCGAACCTAGGGCTTCGTGCATGGTAGGCAAGCACTCTACCACTAAGCCACATTCCCAGCCCACCAAGTGGATTTCTTATCTCTGCCCTTTACTGTCTCTACATGGTACTTTCCCCCAAACTACTCATCAATCATAGAAATCCCTCCAGCTCTCTACTGCTCTTTGTTTCCACTTATAAATCTCTGCCACTTGTGGACCACTTAACAAGTTTATGGACTGGATACTAAAAGGCTGTAGTAGGCCTTGAGCTGGTAATAACATTCACAGTCTGGTCCCTACAGGAGTTTAAAGTCTGGTGAAAAGCCTCATTTATATCTTCCTCCTATGTTCTTTCATGGTAATGTAACCAATAATATTTATGGACAACTCCAAAACTTTGTAAGCCTTCTTCCTCCTTCTTTTACTAACTCCTCCATACTAATTCTACGGTTGTTACCTCTCCAGTAGATCTTGAAGGCATCCCTCCTCTCCATCCTAGTTGCCACAAACCTGGCTCTCATTCTTTCTCTGGACCTTGATTTTCCAGCCACCTTATCATCTATCTTAATTGTCAACCTAACCCAATAAACTCCCTCAATCCCCATGATCTATATATTTCTTTGCATCTAACCCTGTCCACTTTCAGCCTTAACTCTTGCCACTTCAGCAAGGCCCTTGGTGTGGCTCTTCTGTAGGCTACCATGTTGTTCCATGTCACTGACCTCTCCTCCAAGATGACTCAAGTTACTGTTTGGGAAACATCTACTCTAGCCCTGATACATCCACAAGGATACTGGTATCTTGGCTATGTGTTTCTAAGGAAACCTATGTCCTCTCTCATTGTGGGTAACTGCTTGCCTCTTTCACTAGTCTGACAGCCCAAACCAGGCCTTATTCATCTCTGTGTCCTCAGTGCCTAGAACAGAGTAGGAACACAGCATGTGTCAGGTGCTGTTTTAAGCCCTTTTCACACATCAGTTTAGTCTTCATGACACTGTGTGAGGAAAGCATTTCTATGGTGTCCATTTCACAGCTGAGGACAGAGAGAAATTAAGAAGCTTGCCCAAAAATACTCCTGGCAGAAAGTAGTCTAACTGAGATGGAAACTCAAGCAATAAGGCTCCAAGTATGGCTCTTAATCACTGTGATCTTCTGTCAGATTTGCTCCTTTCCCCTCCAATTACTTTTTTTTTTTTGTTTTTTGTTTTTGTCAGTTGTAGGGCCTGAACTCTGGTCCTGGGCACTGTCCCTCAGCTCTTCAGCTCTAGGATAGCACTCTACCACTTAAGCCATAGCACTTCTGGCTTTTTCTGCTTATGTGGTGCTGAGGTATGGAACCCAGGGCCTCAAGCAATCAAGGCAAGCACTCTACCACTAAGCCACCTTCCCAGCACCCTCTCCAATTACTATTATCCTGTGTGCACTCATACCTTCAGGCCAGATGACGATAGCAGCTTCCTGACCTGTGTCTTTGGCTTTATTATCTCTCTCCTTTGGGGGGCCTCAGGGTTTACATGCTATTATTGTTTATATTTAAGTGACAAGGAATGATGCAGGTTCCCATGAGGTATGTCCAACTTGGAAGACTCTGCCAGCTCTATAGAGCCTGATGATCTTGGGCAAGTCACTTAAATCCTTCCCACCCCCAAGTCTCAGATTCCTCATTTATAAAATGCAGATAATAAATAATAGTAATTATCTTATGGGGAGAGCTATTGTGATAACACAATCCTGCCTAACATTAAGTGCTCAGTGATTATTAGCAATTCAAGTTCACAGTTCACATCCAGGAAAGCTACAGCATATCTAGCATGAGTTGGCTAATCATCTTGGACTAAACGCTTTCTGTAAGTTCTTGAATCATAACTGAGAGGAAGTTACCCTACCTAGCTCCTTATTTGTTCCTTTGAGGTGTTCTCCATTGGGAAACATACCGTGTGAAAAAAAAAATATGAGCAATCATTTGTAGAATGTTCTGCAAAAGAAAAATACACTTCATCCAGTGTTAGGTGTACAGAAACTTGTGGCTGTGCTTTGAGGACTATGAATCCTCTCTGAACTTGTTTTCTCACCTAAAAATATGATGGATATAATACCTTTCCCACAGGCGTATGGACAGGATGCACAGCATCTTTCAACACAAGGCTTGACCAAAAGAGCTGTGTAGCCACCTCAAGATCAGATACCATGTGTGAGTTGCGGCACTGTAAATTGAAAATGAGATGGAGGATTATGCAAATCAGGCACAAACACTACTTTCCCCAAAAGCTGACTGCCTTCCTACCTTGGATTGAATCAGGTAGCTCCAGCGCCTCCAGGCTCAAGGGACAAGCTAGAGCCGACCGGCCCAACCACCTCGAGCCCCGCCCACGCCCCCAGAACCCCGCCCCATTACCCCTAGAGCCCCGCCCCCAACGTCGCGCGACTCCTTGCCCAAGTCTCGCCAGCGAGGGGACGGGCCCAGCCTCGGTCACGTGAACGCAGGTGCGGAAGTGGAACTGAGGGCCGCGTACGTGATTGGCCGAGGCGGAGAGCCCCGAAGGCGGAATCAGCCCTACGAACGTGCTGGGAGGAGCCGAGGGAGGAGGCTGCCGCTGGGGCCGGGCGCTCAAGTCCGGGGCTCGGCCTGCAGTGCTGACCGAGTGCTGGACCGGCGGTGGTCCGGGCAGCCCCGCCTGCGTGAGCCAGCTGCTCACCGTCTCCTCAGCCGAGGCGCCGGCTGCTGTGGGAGGCCGGTGGGCAGGCCGAGGGCGGCCGGGAGGGCGCGGGCGCCCCGAGCTCGGAGCAGCGGAGGCGGCCGGGGGCCGGGACGCCATGTCCATGGAGGACCCATTCTTTGTGGTGAAAGGGTGAGCGTGGGTCGAGGGCTCTTGCTGGAGGAGGACGTGGCTCCTAGCTGTCGGGAAGGCGAGGCGAGTTGAGGCCGGGGAGGGTCCCAGGGAGGGGTAGGGGGGGAGAAGGCTTATCCTTGAAGGCCGCGACCCTGGGCCCGGAGACCTCAGGGCGACCTGGGCTGGGACGCTCCCGCCTCACCCACACCCTCGGGTCGGTGCGCCGCGGTCCTCCGTATTTGAGGGCCGGGGAGGGGGGTTCCGCAGCCCTGCAGGTGGGGAGGGAAGGCTGGGGCCGGGTCCGAGCCGCTCCGAACGAGGGCTGGCAGCATCTGGGCAGGAAAAGGGAAATGGCCCTCCTGAGCTTTGTAGTTGGCGTGCTTGGGGGTGGGTTCCATTGTCCACCGAGTTGGAGCGCTCGCCCGCGGACCGGCGGGACCGCAGCCCGCCCCCGAGGCGTCGGAGCGCGTTTGCGGGGCGTCGCGCGGGGGCGGGTGTGGGTCCCCGGGGGCCGGGCAGGCGGAGCACCCCGAGTCCGGCTCCATCCCGTGGGGGGAGTAATGTGAGGGGAGGAAAGCAAGCCCTCTTCCTTCAGACTCGGTGCTGATGTTGGAAGGAACACAAAATGAATCGAGCCAAGCCAAACTTTACCTCGCCTTTCCATGAGCAGCCGGGATTTTCCCACAGCGCTAAAGGAAATGAGTCGTTTCTCTTTTTAATTCCTTGATTTCGAACACAAATATTGGACAGTTTTCCGACGCGTCTTATTCGGCCTTTCAGAATAGAACTGTCATGGTTTTTTTTTTTTTCCTTGAGAACTCTCCCTGCCTCCATCTTTGATTGCTCGATTGTTGGAAACTTCATTAGGATTTTGTTCTGTCAGCTTTGTAGCCGTTACACACAAGTGCCATGAAGATCAATTCTGATACTGCCACGAAACTTCTAGTAACTTGTCAACTTAGTTTTGAATGGCAAACCAATGTCAACAATCTGAAAACTACCAAGGTCCCAGAAGATACATACTAATAAACGATACGATGTCCCTTGCTTTCAGACCTAGTTATCACGAGCTTCTTCATGTAGGAGCAAAATCTGAACAGTTGTGAGGGTGTTTACTTTCAGATTTAAGAGTTCCTAGTGAAACATCTTTAAACATTTCCCTAGAACAGCTTTTATCTTTATTTTGTAGATTTACTAGTAACATGTGGCTATCTGGAAAATGTGGTATTTATTAGAAGTGTAATTTAGCGGTTACTTTTTTAAATCTAAAGTTGTATGTTTTCCTTTTGAATGCCAGGGTTTATTGTTTTGTTTTTGGTGTGTGCGTGTGCACATTTGCAAGCCAGTATTGGACATTGAACTCAAGAGCTTATTGCTCTTGCTCCATTTTTGTCCATTCAGGGCTGAGGCTCCACCACTTGAGCCATGCCTCCAGTTCTTGCTTTTTGGTAGTTAATTGGATATAAGAATCTTGCCAATTTGTCTGCCCGGGGTGTTTTTCAACTTAGATCCTCAGATCTCAGCCTCCTAGGTAGCTAGAATTATAGATACGAACTGAATGGAGTGTTTTAAACAATTTGGTTAAAAAGGTTACAAAGGTTATCTTTTGCAGAGGTGAACAGAGATACCAGAACGTTTTTTGGCGTGTGACTTTGAGTGGAATGTGTGAAAAACCTTAATTGTGTGCCATCTTACATTATTTTTACTAATAGTGTCCAGCACAGTCTACTAACGCTTGCTTACTGATTAGGTATCACTGCAGCATTGGGATACTGGGTGGTATTTTAGTTGACTTATGTTGTTTTACCTCATGTCTCTTAAGATGCCTGAAGGAAGAGGTTCTCATTATTTTCTGCTGTGGAAAGGTAAAATCAGCCTCATGGGTGTCTTAGATGTTTGTATTATGGCATATTTGGGGAAGACATATACTTCAGTTTGTTGAAAGTATTAGAAACTCATCGTTCAACATAGACAAAAATAAGGTGCCAAATATGGCCTTAAGCTGTGAGCTTCTTGTCTATAGCCTAAAGAAATGACCCCAGAATTAAGTAGAAAGGACCGGCAGTAAATGAGTGCAGTAGTGAGTGCTATAGATGATAAACATCCCAAGAGTTAAAAGTAAGACAGTTCCTTAGGAATTGTTATGATAGGTAAAACTTTGGGAGCTGGTAATATGTGTAGAATGAAGATAGACAAAATTTAGATAATTGAAGCTTTTCTCATATCTTAATGATAATGAAAGAGTTGTGTAATTGGTTCTTCCTACTTCGAACTATTTCCTCTGCCTTTAGGTCTTTTTGATCAGCCCTTGTAGTAGAAATAAAGTATAAGCCACATATGCTATTTTACATTTTTTTTAGTAACTACACTAAAAAATAAAAATGGGTGAAATTAATTTTAAAGTCTTCAATACATTCACAATTTATTTCAATGTGTTTCAAGTAGAGATTATTAATGGAGCTATGTGCCAGTGGGCCTGTAATCCTAGCTACTCAGAAGGCTGAGCTCTGGAGGATAGTGGTAGGAAAAAGCCAAGAAGCCAGAAAACTTGACTAAACCAGCAAAAAGCTTGGGTGGAGGTGTGTGTCAAGTGGTAGAACACCAACTGAGTTCAAACTCTGGAACTCACCTCCTAAAAAGATTATTAATGGCTCACGCCTGTAATCCTAGCTTTCTGGGAGGCTGAGATCTGAGGAATGCCGCCGTTCAAAGCCAGCCCAGGAAGGAAAATCCTTGAGGCTCTTATCTCCAATTAACCACCAGAAGACCAGAAGTGGTGCTGTGGCTCAAGTGGTAGAGTGTTAGCCTTGAGCTGAAGAGCTCCGGGATAGCGCCCAGGCCCAGAGTTCAAGCCCCATGACTGACAAAAAAGAAAAAAAGAAAAAAAAGATCCCCCCCTCCCCCGCAAAAAAAAGATTATATGAATAGTTTACTGATTTTGTGCCAACTCTTCAAAATCTATTACATTATTTTACACTTAGCATCTCCTTTCAATTTATATGTTAGATTTTCACAATGCATTGATCTGTACTTAGAGGTCATTAAACTTCACAGTTGAAAAGACCAATTCATATACACCGATTGTAAATGTAATGATTTTCTGGCCACTAAATTCTGGGTCAATTTTTAAATTAAATTCTAGTTTGTTAGTCACACTAGCCACATTTTAAGTCAGTAGTTGTATATGGCTTCCTTATGGTCTAGCACAGTGTAGATCCAAGCAGGTATCTCCTACTTAGTATTTATGGCTACCTGTTGCCTAAGGAATAAAATGCAAGCACTTCATGGCCTCCCCAATGCAGCACCTTCCTAGGCCTAAACCTCCTACTCATTGTGCCTTCTCTGGCTTCAGTGCTCTAGCATTACCAGATTCCACGCAGTGACTTTGCCTGCAGTGTTGAGTGGGCCCACATGGAGCCACACTGTCTGATTCATCTTCTCAGTCTTCAAGAGGCTGTGTGAAGCACCTCCATTGCCTCCAGGAAGGACTTCCTGGGGCACCCGTAACACATTTTTGTGCTTTCCTCTGGCTCTCTTTCATTATTATACTATGAGCTATTGAAGTTTGGGACTGTTTGTTTTTCCTGCATTTCTAGCCTAATGCCTTGAGTGTATTGTGCAAATGTTGAACACACTGTAGGTTATGGTGATGATGTTTAGTGGGTAGGACCACTATCAGCAGAGGCATGGACAGACAGACAGCGGATGTTTAGAAATTACAAAGGGGAATAGCCCAGGAGAGCAAGTTTACTGGTGGAATTAAGAATAATATCTAACATTTAAAGGGATTCATCTCCTGGGCCAGGCTTTATTTGCTAAGGAAGCATTTTATACTGAGTTTCATGTTGTATGGACAGCCAGATGATGTGAACATGTACAGATAGGTGAAGAGTTATATGATTTGGAAATACTGGCTGACTAAACCTAGTAAGGCTTCAATCTAGTCCTTAAGGCAAGTGTCTGTTTCTAATTACAGGGATATAAGGGCTGTGTCAGGTAGGGGAGCAGCTGACCCAAAGACTAGAAGAAGAACCAGGAATGAGAAAGGTGAGGATGGGAAGAAAACCTGGCAACTGAAGCAATTCATTTTAGTGAGAAATCAGGTTGGATATTGCAGGTGGCCAATTTGGGCTGCAGAAAGCATGAGGAGGGATTGGAAAGGTTGGATTAAGAGTTACATTTTGTCGGGGGAGGGGGGGAGGGGGACGGTCATGGGGCTTGAACTCTGGGCCTGGGCACTGCCCCGAGCTCTTCAGCTCAAGGCTAGCACTCTACCACTTACAGTTTTCTGAGTGGTTTATTGGAGATGAGAGTGTCATGGACATTCCTTCCCTGGCAGACTTTGAATGGTGATCCTCAGATCTCAGCCTTCTGAGTAGCTAGGATTATAGGCATGAGCCACAGGCACCTGGATAAGAGTTTAAATTTAATCAGGTTTCTATTAGACATATTTTATATAGTCACATGAGGACTCAAACCCAAATCTTCTGATTCCACAAAGAAAATAGATTTGTCTGGAGACTTTGTAAAAGTGAAGTTTAAATAGATCTTGGTCATAGAAAGCTTTTGATAGGCAGGGTCAGAAGAACTTGAGGCAAGCAGCTAAGATGCACGAACCCCAGGTCTCTCTTCTTTGTTCAGCAAGAATAGTTGAGATTATGTTGAAAGTTTCTTCATATCTAAAAATCCAGTGACTGAGTGTAGAGGTTGTACAAGGTGAGAAGGAGGAGGAGGAGTCAAAGATGACTTGTCTGCACAAGTTTTGAAATTTGGGGATTAGCCCTGTTGGCTAAAATGAAGAGGAGAAAGAAGCATGTTTTCTTTTTTTGTTTGTTTTACTTTTGTTTGCTTATTTGAACACTACTTTTCTTGTAGCAAAGATGTGGTTAGTTTGATTTTAGGTAAGTGGAAAGTTCCTCTACAGGCAACAGAAGATAAAGGAAGTAATCCTGTGTGAGTAATTAGCATTGGAAATGCAATTGAGGAGTCTTTGAAACATGTGAATGCCAGTGAGCCCA